GACACACTGGGAATTGAACCCAGCACCTTCCGCATTTCACAAACTACGTGCTAAGCGGATGTGATAACCAACTACACCATGTGCCCCTGCTTAAATGAGGCATTATATCCCAATATATAATACTGCATTTAGCTCAGTTGAAGAAGAGTGCACATGTACTAGTGTTGCATTAGAAAGGTTGGTGTAAATCACATATAAGTAAATAAGTAGGTAAATTACTGTAAATTACATTATTTACAACGAGGCCCAGACAGGAGGTGTAAGAAAGTGTCAAAAACTCCCCAAGGGCCCAGAGTCTGCTGTGCAGCAGAGAAAACACACTCAGGCAGAGAAAGGCATATGCATGCATTCTACACCTGCAGTGAATGAAAATTCTGCTGCTTGCACTCTGTCCACACCATGTCTGACCTCTCATGAATGGTGTCAGATAGAATGCCTACCATGTATACCACTGTGTATAGCAGCTTCAGCTATGGCTATTCGCTCCACCTCCAGTGGGTTAGAAACCAAACAGAGATGCATGCTCTTACTTCTCCCTGACAGATCCATTGTTATCAAATCACTGTAGGGTTCAGGGCCCACGAAATTCACCTGGACAGAACCCGTAAAGTTAGTCTGCACAACGAGTGATTTCCACCTGCAGACCTGGGTCAATAGCCGAGCTATCAGTTGAATTGAGTCAGCAGAATTTACGCAGAAATATTTGACCTTTAGCCTGGCAGGTCGGCCAGGCTTTGAGACAGGTGAAGTTCTACCGGACCATGGGTGAATCCACAGCCAGGCTAAACCATGCAGCTATGCGGGTGAAGTTCACAAGTCTGCCGCCTGCAGAATAACCACGAAATTGGCACGGAGAATTTAGTTCGGTCAGAGACGGTCTAAAATATGCAGACACAAGCAAAATTTGCTGTCACACCAGGTAGAAACACACGGCAGACAGGATATAAATCACTATTGTACAGGGGAACATGGCACCATATAGGCCCATGCCAAATGCCTACTCGCCGTCCTCCATATCGTCCAGGCGGCGGAACACATCACTGGCCTCTGTATCATACAAAAAATAGCCCTTGCGCTTGCCATACCGCCGAACACTGCTCATGAACTGCTTGAGCATCTCACCGGTGGCCCAGTCGTTGGCGAAGCGGGCAAGGAAAGGGTGGATTTTGCGAGCCTAACCCGAGAGGCATTAGCACCGTAGTAGATACCAATATATAACGCAGCACTTACAGTTGCAAAAATGTTGTGCAGGTCCTGGGGGCGCACCTTACAGTAAGGCATCGAAAGATCGAGGCGTGCGGCATGAGCAAGCTCACGCACAGTAGACTACAATGTGTCAATCGATCAATCAACAATTTGCTAGCTGAAGAGTTAACCACTCACCAGAAGCTGATTGTAGAGCTTCTTGCCCTCGCCTGAGCCACCCAAACCCATCTTCTCGATGAGATGGAACCCTTTCTTCCCACCTCCCGCACTTCCCTTGGGCTTCGGGATGGACCCTGCCGCTGCCGCTGCTGCTCGGCGGTCCCCGCCACCACTCGCCAAAGGACCGGCAGCCTCTGCGCGTTGTAGTCGCTCTGCGATAGAGGTTGTTAGTAACAGCTCTCGTGCTGTAAACGCCACACTGCGTACCTTCCAACAGCCGAACCTGGTTCATAAGGTTGGCAGTTGCTGGATCCATGGGCGCTGAGCCGGTTAGAGCTGGATCAATGTCAGGAATGTGAGGACCTTGAGAACCTGCGCCTGTAGACGACATTGCTGTTGCAGGCTGAGCGCCGTTGCCCAATTCAATGGCATTTGGCCGAGAGATGTTGTTGGTAGTGGGGCCTGGCACAGGGGACACACTGCTAAGTACCGATGACGTGTCATTGTTGGGTCCAGGCTGGGATGTGCTACTGGTAGAGGCAGTTGTTGGTGTCGTCTCGTCGTTAGTGGGTGCGGGTGGCGCAGCTGTTCTCTTGCGAGGCGCAGGAGGAGCCTTCTTGCCTTTGTTCCTGCGGGGAGCCATGCAAGTGGGGAATTTCACTCTGATGCGTACGAGGGGACGGGGGATGGGAACTAACCAAGAAGTGGGCGGGACAGGCCCTTATATATGGCTTGTGCATATCGGGTGTCGTGACTTTGTTGTTGATTCGAGTTCAACAACGACGCGTCGATATTTCCACTCGGACGCGACGAAATTCGCGGTGGTGTGCTTACGCTAGCCCGACGTTGACTGTCACAGTATCACGTCACTGCCCAGTGCCCATGCGGAGCTCATGTTTCACCGTGTGCGCCCATGCCTTATTCGTGGCAGTCCGTTTCAGCATGCACACCACCATTCAGACTTTGACTGCATACCTTCGCATCTAGCCCCCCAGCCATGGCTCCCAGCGGTGATCTTGTCCTCTGTACTTGTGGCTGTGAACGTTGGGTGACCCGTGCAACCCGTTGGAACCATACTCACAGGTCAAAAGCGACTCCGACAGCCAAAGCAGCTGCCATTTCATATCGCCGGCAAATATTGGAAGGCATCGGTTCCGCAGCTGCTTTGGACCTACAAGCACCAAATCTCGAGTTCAGTACCTTATCAAACGTAGATCCAAGTACCAAGAACACACTGGAGAATGCAGAATCTAGCACCTTCCCCGAAGAATCTGGCAATTTCGAAGAGCAACATGGCTCGGAGAGCACGGCGGTACAAAACCCAATTGGAGACCTGCCGGAAGTTCGCTTTGCTGTAAGTACAAAGCTGTTTGGCTATCTTGCAGCATCTCACCTGGCATGGTATCATGCAGGCTGTTGCGGAGGCTCTTCAGCACATGGTTGAAGGCCGGCAACTTCGCCAACGAGCCCAAGTGGATGATGACGAGTCTCTGGCATCTGAATCTGACTCTGAGGCAGGTGTGGATGTTAGTCTGGAGGCAGCAAATGAGGAGCCGGTGGTGTATGAGATGGAAGAGAGAGACGAGGATGGGCTGTTCGCATATCAGAGGCTTAGCGAGACTTATGTAAGGGAGCTGGTTGAGTTTGGTGAGTGCGCTTCCTGGGCCTGTCATGTCTCGCATCAGATCATGCCTGACCTAGCATCAGCAGACGAGCTCAGTCCACAAGATATGGACATACTACTGTCGTACGCATATCGAGTCAGGACTCAGCTGACCAAAGAAGACTTCGAAATGCTACCGTTTGCGTACCGTGCGATACCTCAGCTGAGTGGCAACGCCACTGACTCCCGTGCTGCATTTCTATCTGGACTTGACCCCATCCTCTATCATTGTTGTCCCAAGTCCTGTGTCTGCTACGTTGGGCCATATGCTGAGCTGCAAAGCTGTCCGACCTGTGGTACTTCGCGATACAATGCACGTGAACGGCCTCGCAAGATCTTCACTTATATTCCCTTGACCCCGCGTCTTGTCGGTCTTCATCGAAACCCCGAGATAGCCAAGAAATTGCAATACCGTAGCGACTACAACATCTCGGCAGCTCGCCACACTGTCCCTGAACCACACTGCGAGCACATACGAAAGCAGACAGGAAATGGGCTCCCGAACAAGTGTTACTGTCCCAGTGAGGTGAATGACGTATTTGATGGCTCTCACTACCGCTCGCTCCGGGAGAATGAGGAAGAGGCAAAGGCAAACAAGAAGCGCCGCAGTGGCGGAAGTGCGGGAAAGGTTTGATGGCTCAGTACGGTCCCCGGTACCAGAGCAATGATTGAATGTCTCGCAGGACAAGTCGAGCTCGTAACGGCAGAGCTGCCTGTGTGGGAGCTGTCGACCGCAGAGGGTACGGGCGGGGCAATTTATGCAGGCGACATGAGTGAAAAATCAGGGACAGCGGTTTTCAGCAGGATCATGTATATTTTAGGCAGTTAGACCAAATATGGACGGCTGCGCAAAAATAACCTGGACCTCGGGATTACCCACTTCTAGCCTGGTTTCCGGGCGAATTTGTTAAAATCGCTCGTTGACCCAGGGAATTTTACGGGTTCCGGACTCCGTAGTGCCCAAAGCCAACTTGCCACGAGCTTGCTTCTCCTCGAAAGTAGTACAACCAGGTGAGCCTCTCCGACCTCGAATGTGTACCCGGGATTTTGCGCTTTATATTCAATGACTTATACACCTCTGTTTCGAC